CTTGCAAAACTCTATAAATAGAACCCAACACCCAAATGAATTCTCATCTTCTCCACCATATCTTAAAGCTCTTAAGAAAACATCATCTCTCTTCTTCTCCATTTCGAAATTATTAGTGTAGGAAGCTCAAAATCTCTCTTCATTTCCAAAAAGAAGTTTCTTCAACTAGAAGTGTAAGAAAGCTCTCAATTTTCTACTTCCTTTTCAATTTCGAAAATTCCCTAATGTTTTCTTCTAATTTCTTTATAATTTCTTCAAGGTTCTTGTAGTGGGTTATTCAATCCACCAATTCCTTCATATTCCCAAGAGAAACTAGGTGAGAATTTCATATTCTTGCTACAAGTGATTCTTCACCAATATTATTTCTTCTTTCTCCTTCCTTGTTCTTAAATGGCCGAAAATTTGGGAAGTTATATTACTTTGCTTGTTTATTGTTAGATGATCCATGCATGTAATGATCTAAGCTTTAATTGAAATAATCTTGAAAAACTAAGAATAATATGATAATTTAATTTTTATTTATGTATATGTAAATATATATATACTAGACCTGCGTGATCTTAAGGAAACTTCGATCCATGGTTTTCGTAAACCTGCGTGGTCGAAGAAAGTACTTGATCCATGGTTTATTAATAATCTATATGTGGTATATATAAGTATATGTTTCTATGTTATATATATCGACCTACGTTGTTGTAAGTGTACTCCCTCCGGGTCGAGGAAGCTTACGATCCATGGTTTATGATCTATGAGTAATAAGATAATATACGAAGATAAAAATCGAGAACAAGATTAATAAAAATAGAATTTTGTGTGATTGAATTGTTGATGGTTCGAATATTTTGAAAAGAAAATGAAATAAATGGAAATTTGGTGCTACTTGAAAGAAAACTTCAAGTCTCTTGAGAAAGAGACTTTAATTAATGAAACTTGGAGATGTTGGGGATCGTGCATGTATACGCAGCGGAATTTAAAAATTTTATATCGAACTAGTTTCGATTACATGCATAAACTAATCACATAGTCAACGTACCTTAACGCTTCCGCCATACATATGGTAATTATCGATTTAATTGAAAAACACGTAAAACCGAAAATTACGAAACATGCTTATTCTTCATTTCACAAAATCGAAACACGTAATCACGTATTACTCATGCTCGCAAATTAATAATCATACAAACATGTTCGAATCGAATTACGAAAGTTCTGATTTAATTATCTCTTGTAGCGTGAGATTTCGACGAATCGTAATCCTAGAACGAGTCACGTACAAGCTGCAAATTACCAATCCACGGGGCTGCAATTCATGGCTGGAACAAGCTGATCCAGCAAGCGACGAACGGCGACGAACGGCAGCAGCAGCGGCGGCGCGTGGCAGCGGCAGCGACGGCGCGTGAGCGGTAGTGCGGCGCGTGCGGCGGTGCGTGGATTCGTCAGGGCAGCAGCTTCTCTCCAATTAGGTTTCACCTCGTATTTTCGACCCACTCGAACTATAGCACTAGATGTAAACGAGTTAGATAACAACACGAATAAAACGAAGGAAAAAGAGGAGAAAACCGGCGGTGTTTCCGGCGGTGGTCGGCGGTGGCGCGTGCGCGGCAGCAACGGCCGAAGGGGCTGAGCGGCTAGGGTTTTTGGTGCTGAAAATCTGACCTCAAACTCTTGTTTGAGGTCTATTTATACCTAGGGTTTTCAACCCTAGTGGGCTTAAGTCATTGGGCTTGACCCACTGATGCATTAAGCCCATCCCCTCGTCGGCCTCGTTTCTAATAAACGATCGTCCACAAAATTATAACAAAACTATATTTGTGACGAGCTCAAAGTCCTCGTCGATACGAGTGCCTCTTCGAAATTTCCAATTTCCAAAATTGGAAACTTCCACTTCAGTGGACTTGCTAAATCGGGAAACTTCCCTATTTAGAAAGTTCACTAAATTCCGCATGTCTCTCTTTCTCTACGTTTATTCCAATTCGCAATTCACAATTACGAATCTTGGATTCAATCATATCGACATCCAATCGTTCAAAGATTAACACATTAATCTATGCTTGTTGTTATCAAGGATCTATATTACACGAGAAGTGTGACCCTCAATGGTTCAGGTGTATGCTAGCCGTGGGCTCACAACTCTTTGTGATTCGAACAACACATTGTTCTTATGCGAACTCCTCCCAAGAGTCCCGATTAGAGTAAAACTCATTTTACCTAATCCCCGATCAAGTCGGTGCCCAACGAATCAAGATTGGCGTCTAGCAACTACGCATCATGATTCCCTAGATACAAATGAAGTGCCTGCAAGAACCTTATGATATAGTTAGCGTACAGTACGATCCTTTCGCAGCACATGTCCCGATTGAACTAGAGGCATTGGTTCACCGAGACCTCTTATAAAGTTCAATAACCGTGCGAACGTTCTAGGTATTATAAATCCGTTCGTGTGCGACTTAGGGAAACACATTTCCCTAATCACCCCACTATCAACTCTGGCCAGAGATTCCATGGATTATAAACCGTCAGAACTCACAGGACATCCATGACTACTCAAGCGCTCGAATCCCCTACTACAATACACATACTTCACACTAGATTTCGGATTGCACGAACGTTGGCCCTTGGTGTGGTCCGCGGTGGGACTCAGGGACAGGTGACGATACAATCGGTCCTCTAGTGAAGTCACGGTGATGTCTGGGTCTTAAGGACTAATGGTGTACAACTATATCATAGAAACCTATTACTCGATGAATGAGAACCACTTATAGATTTCTAGGGCGAGGGAGTTCAGTGAACTCATCTAATATGAGCACCCAGTAACTCGTTAGGACTATATCTATGCTTCTTGCATGGGATAATAGATATAGAATGCCAAATAAGATATTTTATTATTACGAACGAAAAACGATTGTTTTATTACAAGATAAAAGGAAAGACCACAGCCACAAGTTGGCTTGTTGGTCACCTACTCCAACAGGAGATAGTAATTATAAATAACCGAATGCTTTGAGTTGTTTTGCTATATATGTGATCTATGTTCTTTGCTTGAGTGGTTACGTGTCTTACTTGCTTTTCTGATTTTGTGAATAAACTATGTGCCTTTGTGAAATATGTGGAAATATGTGTGCTTTTGTGAAAGCTAACTTTGAATATGTGAAATGAAGAATATATACTAACTTCACTTGCACGTTTTTAAAGTTGGAAAATCTTGTAAAACATAGATCGAATAAGCACGAAGTATGAGGGACCGGTACCCCAAAAATGAGATGAAAAGTGTGTGGTTTGATTCGACTTATGAAACGGGTTCCAAATAAATGAAGGCTTATTGTCTATGGTTTTACTTGGTTTTCCAAAGGATATCCGAACGAAAAATGTTTTCTCACACAACTAATCAATTTGCTTGAATTGAATGAAAGTATGTACTAACCTCACTTGCACGTTTTTTAAAATTGGAAAGTCTTGTAAAACATAGATCGAATAAGCACGGGGTATGAGGGACCGGTACCCCAAAAATGAGATGAAGAGTGTGTGGTTTGATTCCACTTATGAAACGGGTTCCAAATAAATGAAGGCTTATTGTCTATGGTTTTACTTGATTTTTCCAAAGGATATCCGACTAAAGAAAATGATTTTTTCACACGTTGTATGAGCACTTGAATGAATGTATGGATGAATGGTTCTTTTATGTAGACCTACTCTTATTCCTTATGAAATGATGAAAAGAAGGTCTAAGAGGTAAATCGAAAGGTCTAAGAGGTAAACCGAGAAGGTAAAGGTAACTCGGTAAATTTTCTTCAAAAAATGGTGATTGCGGTATATGTATACTTGTATATGTATGACTATATGATTCCTTGTCTAAGTGTATTTGATATTCTATGGAATTCTCATTGAGTCTCAAAGACTCATATAGGTGTTGAATTGCTTGTAGGATTACCTGATTTCGAGCCCGAGGATCGTGGTTGAAGTTGAGTTCGTGGATCGGGAGAAGAGTTCATATGGAGGCATGGTGGATTTTGGGTGCTCTTAATATACTAATGTGGTTTTATTTGTATAATTTGCTATTAAGGATATTCGACACCGTTCTATGTGTTTATTATCGTTCTCTCCCGCCTATTGGAGGAACTTACTATTGATGCATAATATATAATGCATAATATATAATGTTACTTAGGAGTAAAAGTACCTCTTTTGATATATGTTATTTTATTTCCTCAAAAACTTGTGTAACCTTAGGGCAAGTTTTCATAAAAACCTTATAAAATTCCCGTCGGCTAGTTGTGTGTTATGTTCTATCTAGTAGTTTGATAATTCGTGTTAATTATCTCTTCCATACATTATTGCATGAAATTTTTACAGCATTATAGCACTCTTTGTTAGGTTCATTTTGATAGTTCGTTTGCATTATTTGGATAACCCATGAATTAATTATGAATTGTTTCTCAACACTGCTCTGAAACAGAGTCGTTGTAGTATTTACAATAAAATACAAAGTTTTTCTCACTCAAAAGGATTTATTCCACTTGTAATGGAATCCTAACTCACTAATGAACTTTAGTATAGAATTTGATGATTTTTGAAACAGTAGGGAATTTATAAAGATTTTTCAAAGGTCAGTCCCCTGCTTTAGATTTTAAACTGTATAGTTGTACTATTTTAATTATTCCTTTCAAATGGATCAAGGTATTTAAAAACTGTTTTTACTAGGTTATCTAGGCCCTTAGCATGTGGTAAAAATGTCACGTGGTTTGCATGAGTGGTTAGAGAGTTATTAATTTATTTGGTTGATAGATCGAAACTGTCCAAAATTCTCTCATTTTGCTAAAATGGAACTTAATCTCTAGTCATGCATGCATAGTTTGTGAAATTGATTAAGTGAATGTTGTTTGGTAATATGTGGACACTCTTACTCTGATTCTAAAAGAAATTTTTTTTCGGAATTTTCTATTCCCGATTTATATATTTCAAAGTCTTCCGCTATCATATTCTAATATACTAATTAAGTATAACTAGAAAATGGGTGTCACACAATCCATTCCGAGGATTATTTCGAAATGTTTAATGGGTAGAATGATCAGATCGGAGGCTAGGGTTTGGTTATGAATCTGAATAGGGCAATATTTGATGATGAAATTGGACTTAAGTTCATCACCGGAAGGAATAAGTATGCTAAACAAGGCATCGGCTTGACTACGGACTAGGCGGATTTCGGCAACGAGGGTACATGAAATGAATGAGTGCGTTGATCCGGAGTCGATGAGGGCATACACGGAATTATTATACACATTAACGGTACCTGCGATCATTGACGGGTCAACTTCGGCTTGGTCTCTTGTCATGGCGAATACTCGTCCCGGCACTTGTCTCGGGGCGATAGGGCAGTCTCGGACCATATGTCCGGGCTTCTTGCATCGAAAACAGTGGTCGGTTCCGGCAACACAATCGCCAGAGTGTTCTCGCTTGCATTTAGGGAAAAAGGGCTTGTTGCTCGGGGTCACGGTTGCTCGGTTGATCGGTTGCTTTCCTTTGGCGTTGTTGAGGTTCGGTTTCTTCCATGGTCGAGAAGAGGCGTCGTGAGGAGGTCTCCATTGTCGGATATCCATCTCGTCTTGTTTGGCTTCTAAGGCTTTGTCCACTACTCCGTGGAAAGTAGAGGCAGAGGTTAGTCGAACGTCGCGCTTGATTATATGGTTGAGGCCTCTTAGGTAGTGATTCATCTTTTCGGTTGTCGTCTTTGGATATGAAAGGTGCGTAGAGGCTTCCTTGCTCGAAACGGCGTGTGAATTCGGTAACGGTTAGGTTTCCTTGTTTGAGTTCGATAAACTCCTTAAGCTTTTGTGCTTGAACATTCTTGGAAAAGTACTTTTCAAAGAAAAGAACTTTGAAAGCTTCTTAAGTGGTATTTGCTAAATCGATTCCACTCTTTGCGCCTTCCCACCAATTTCGGGCTTCGTTCTTCAACAAGAATAGTGCGCAATGGATTCGGTCGCTGTCGTTCATCACCATGTACTCGAAAATAACTTCGAGGGATTTGATCCATTCTTCGGCAAGAGTTGGACTTGGGCCGCCGTGGAATTCGGTAGGATGCATTTTCAAGGATCGCTCGTAGGTGGCTTGTGGGGCTGTATTTCTTGGTTGGGGAGGAGGAGGAGGTGGTGGAGGGTTTTGGTTTTGAAGGTTAACAAGGCGGTTAATTTGTTCATTTTGTTCTCGGACGAGGGCGGTGAGGTCTTGGATGGTACGAGATTGATTGTGAGGATCGTTAGCGGCATTTTGAGCTCGAGTTCTTGCTCCAGACATTTTAATACTTAAACATATACAAACATTTCACATTAGCCATAAAATTCACATAAAATTCACATAAAACATGTACCTGCCCGAGTGTTCAGTTGGAGTCGTGCTTGAGAATCGTGAAGATCTTTAGGTCGTATGGAGGTTTCCGGGAACGTTGCTCTGATACCACGTCTGCTGTGACACCCCTCTCTCGATTACCCTTATTATATGTAATCTCAGCGGAAGACTTTTGAAAACATGATTTTTGTGGATATAAATTAACGTCAAAATTATTCTTTTTTAAATCAGAGGGAGAGAGGGCACAGCTTGCTAAACCCTAATCGATCAATTAACACCAATGCATGCTAAATGCATGACTAGAAAGTAACTAGGCATTATGGACTTAATGCAAATGCGGACAGATTCAATGTAGAAGCTTTAAAAATTAATTCCTCTTACACTACTCATGCAAACGACCCCAAATTAATACCATACCATCTAACACGGGTCTTAATCACTCAGTTAAAACAGTTTTGAAATATGCATGGCCATTTAGGAGAAATAAATAAAATGGCACAGTCACTCGGTTTAAAATCCAGAACAGGGAGGGAGTTTTGAAAATTCACAATAAATTCCTCACTGACCCAAAAACTACCACATTTTACACCAGGGCAGAAAAATAAGTTTAAAATATTTTCCAAGTGGAAGCAAGGCATTTGGCTGAGTAAAACTCCAGTAAGACCAGAAAACACCCGAATGGCCCTGTTTCATTTCAGTAGTGAGAAATGAATCATAACTAAATGAATACTTACCCAAATTATGCACAAGACCTATCAAAATGATGAGCACAGAGAGATGCAGAGAATCCTAAAATTTCATGATTTTCTAAGCAGCGCTTAGAAAATAATTTTAGAACATGGAGACAAAACACGAAGAAACTACTAGTCGAAAGCATGCATGCTTATAATGAGTGAAAATTTGCTTTCGTTTACAAAAGGCTACGGATTACCGATTATTTATCCAAAATAGGGTAATCCTAATTACTATTACACACGTCGTCTTTTAATAATTTCCTCCGATCGGAGGAAGCGAACGGTAGAAAATACCTAAAACCGTATCAAATGTTTTTACAAGCATATTATACAAATAAAACCACATAACTAAATTGAGAGCCAACACTATCCACAACCCCTCCATACGATCTCCTTCCGATTCTCGAGCTCGATTCCCAACTTTACTCCTCGGGCCCTAAATCGGGTATACCTACAAACATACAACACCTATATGAGTCTTTGAGGACTCAATGAGAATCTTGAAGTAATATCGAATACACATAGCACATAGAGCATACATATATCTATACATCTATATATATACATACATATATCTTATACATGAACATACAACATGAAGTAAAACAATCATATACTTCCCTTTTTCGTCGGCGTTCTTCATTCACATAATTGCCACACGCATAGAGTGAGATAATTCCCACCTTTATAACCCTATGATCCCAAGACCATAGAGTGAGAATATCCCACCTTTATAACCCTATGCCATGACACGTATTGAAGATTATAGAAGGAATTTCCCACCTTTATAACCCTACGATCCCAAGACCATAGAGTGAGATTTTCCCCCTATATCATCAACACCATAATGCAACATGCATGACATGAAAAATTTTCGGGAATCCCTCGGAAGAGCCAATCTAAGTTACCGGTAAATAACCCCATATATTTCGAACCATGTCAAACTACGTGGGATCAAACCACCCCTAGGCCCTACGGTACCAGGCTCGCCGTACCCGAGAAATTTACCGTAACCTCGAAAGACTTTCCAACATAGTTTTATCTTTTTTTTAAAAATTCATGACACTTAATGCACCCACCCATGCACCCTTCTACTTACCCTTCTCTCATCCTCACACCCAATGATTCACATAAGCAAGCAAGAGCACATAGGAGCACATAGAAAATACACATAAAGTTTCACAAAATCATTTAGCCATAAAGATATAGAAATAACCGAAATCTTAACATGCAAAAACAATCTAACATCAAAGTTCACTAGATCTAGCATTTTTACAAGAATAAAATTCAAGACTTCCATCTTTACATTTATTCAAGCAAATACACTAGATCATCACATGCAAGAGTGTTTTAAACCAAATTATCACAAATTCTTAGTTCTTAAACCATTTTTCATAGAAAACACTAGATCTTAACATGCAAGACTTTAGATCAACCATCAATAACTAGATCTTAACATGCAAGACCTTAGATCAACAATCAATCACCAATCTTAACATGCAAGGCCTTAAAACAACAATCAACACAAGATCAACACATACAAAACACAAAATAAACCACATAAGCAATTTCAAGCATTTTACCTCTAAACTTTGAAAGTTCCTTAGCGAAGTCAAAAATTCATTTTCTTTTCAAAAATCAACAATCAAACACTAGATCAGTACATGCAAGGCACTAATTAAGCCAAATAAGCTATTTAAAACAATTTTCCCCAAAAAATCGAAAGTTTCATGGCTAGGCCAAAAATTCATTTTCTTTTCAAAGATCAACAATCAAACACTAGATCAACACATGCAAGGCACTAATTAAGCCAAATAAGCCTTTTAAAACATTTTTCCCCAATTTTCGAAAAATCATAGAACTTCAAGAACAAAGTCATCTTTTCAAAACACTTACATGCAATCATCATCTAAAACATATAATCACATAATAAATAATAAAAACACATAGAAACACATAAAAACACATAAAAACCGAAAATACTAGTGGTGTTGTAGGTTTGAGCAAGAATTCAAGAATTCTCACCTATACTCTTTACGGGAAGGATTTGTTAGCTCTTTTCTCTCTAATACAAGAAGAGATTAAGAGTTAGATTAGGCATTAAGAAAATAAGAAGAAAAACAAAAGAACTTGGATGAAGAAGAGTTTGGCTCTTTTCGAAAAAGGAAAAAGAAAAGAGGAAGAGGAAGCTTACTTAGCCTTGGCCGAAAATAGAAGGAGACTTTGAACTTAAGAATAGTAAGATTGGTGTTTGAGAGTGTATTTTAATCTTGGGAATGAGAGGTATTTATAGAGTTTTTGGAGACTTCAAAGCCAATGGAGAAGAAAGGGATATACATCTTTTGTGGGCGTGAATTTGCAATTTTCGAAAGTTGAGGTGGTGGTGGTTCTTGGGTGGTTCAAGCTTGAGAAGGTGGTGGCTATGGTGGTGGTGGTGTCTGCCGAAAATGAAGGGGAGGGGAAGAAGAAAGAAAGACTTTTGGCCTTAAAGTGGTGTGTGGGAGTGAAAAAGCAAGCCTAGACTAGAGGGTAGGGAGGCTAGCTTTTAGGTATTTCTTTCTATGCTCAAGGTACAACCACACCAATGCATGTCTAATACTAATTAATATGCAATGTAAAAATCATGTGTGTGTGTGTGTGATGTTCGAAAATTCAAGAAAATGTGGGGAGGATTTTCTAATTTTCGACATTAATTAAAAATCCTAAAATGCATGATAAAAATTTATTTTTCTAAAATTTTGTGCATGCATAATATGATGAAATGCTCATTTAAATTACATGCAAGAATAAAATCCTAACTCATGAAAATAATTTATTTCGAAATAATATCTCGAAATATTTCCTAAGCACATAATTCACATAATCACATATTTCACATAATCACATAATGCACACAATAATTCACATAATCAAATATTTCACATAATCACATAATGCACACAATAATTCACATAATCACATATTTCACATAATTCACATAATCACATAATTCATATATTTCACATAATTACCTAATTCACCTAAATACTAACCATGCAAGAATTATTATAAATTCTAATTTCGCAATTATGCACATAAAGGTGGTAAAATAAAATAATATTATTTTACCGAAAATGCGGGGTGTTACAAAATTACTCATAACCAGCTGTCGCGTGTATTATAAGTCTATTATTCATAAAAGATTCACTATACCTCTATGCAAACCTAGTATAAATAAAGCATTAAATAACAAGTCTCGTAAACGGCTACCCAAGGTATTATCTATATGTCTACGATAATACATGCAATTAACACACTCATCCGGTGAAAACTACTTGAAGGCTCTTCTATCCCTGTTCTAATTACTAAAACGATCTGTCAATCAATTCTAACAATAACAATTAGCAACATAAATTAGCTACGTTCATGCGCTAAATAAGATCAAAATAAAAGAAATAATCAAAGAATTAAACTTGCATGAAAGTAGAAAAATAGGTTCGAATTACCACATAGGGTTCCAACAAAATCCTAGAATAAAAACTTAGCTACTCATGTTTGCTACGAAAAACATAATAAAAATACGAAAAACCATAAAATCTATGAATAAAAATAAAAGAGTAGAACTATGATGAAGATTCGTCAAGTCTTTGTCT